CATGTAGTTGGCAAATTAAGTGAGAAAGAAATAGATGTCAATAGTACAAATAGTAAATATTTAATAACAATTGTAGTCTTGTTTCTTTACATAATAATTGTTAATAACCTTATATTGGTATTAGTTATTATACTATCAGAGAACTTACCAAAAAATATAGCATTTGATATGTAGAAAGAAGTCAAGACATTTTTTGCAAACTATAGCATGAGAAATAGTTTTGCGATTAAAAAATATAAAATAGGTTATATTAAAATAAATATAATATCTAGAAGAACCTTTAGCTATAAATTCAGTGAAAAATATAAGCCTAATAAAAATAAAGATACAGCTATAAAAAAGAACACAATTAAATACAAGAATGAAGAAATTAGATTGCTCTTGGTATTGTAACTTTTCATTAGTTGAAACTGATTTCAGATCAAAATAACAAAGATAGTTAATAAGCACAATTATAATCTTTCATCTAAAACCCAGAAATTTGGAATCAAATATTGGTCTTTAAGTGAAGAAGCTATAAACGAAATTAAATAACCAAGTATAGAAATCTGTTGATTACTTTACAGAAAAATATTCTTAAAGCTTGTTTTCCAGATATGAACTTTTAGGATACTGACCTTGCTAATGCTATTAGTAAATTTAAAAAAGCAAAAACTTTAACACAATAAATAATGCATATATCTTACTTATATTACTAATAAAAAAAAAATAACTGACCCATGGTGGACTATTAACTTTGAACTTGATAAAGACAATTATTTGATACAACTTTTCTAGACATCATCTAAACAAGCTAACCTATGGTTAAAGTATTATAATATAGTAGTTAATGACAATACGGTGTGAACAAATCAATATCAAATAACTCTTTCTTTTTTTATTATAATCGACAATAATAGTAAATCAAAACTTGTATGCCAAGCATTAGTCAGTAATGAGATATTAGAAACATATATGTGGATTCTAGATTGTATCAATAAAGCCACAAATAAACCACCTATCATATTATTCACAGATACAGATCTTGTACTAAATGCCACTATATTAAATATCTTTCCAACAATATATGCAGCTTATTGTATATATCATATTAGACAAAATTATTTCTAAGAATCTAAAGTCAAAGCTAGGAAACAAATAGAAAGAGTTTATAAAAAGTTTTTATCAATGCAGAAACAGCCTATGTGAGACTCTTTTTGAAAAAAGATAGAAAGATTTGCTTGAAAAATATCCTATAACTAATAATTATTTGCTCAGAGTTCTTAACCAAAGTTATCGATCATGAGCATGTATATACTTATACAAAATTTTTATAGCCAGTATCGAAAGTACTGCACATGTAAAGAGATATAACTGGATAATTAAAAAAGAGTTGAGAGCAAATAGTATATTTTGCGAACTTGCCAATCACCTAGATCAATGATTGAAAAATAAGACACAATAAGAACAATTCCATGAGTACAGAACATCAACTATTATAGCAACAGTGCATATGACTGGCCAGGATCTTTTTCTAGAGAAAGTTAATATGTTGGATAAATATACTACTAAAACAATTAATGATACAGTTAAAGTTGAGATGAGTTAATACCTTTATATTAACATGAACAGGATTGAACTTATAAGTGAAGAATTGACTCGAGAACAGGTAAAGATTATTGAAACAAATTAAAATAAAATCAGGTTAAAATAAAATCAGATAAAATGAAACTCCATCTTATTAATCCTAAATTAAATCGAAATAAGATTTCTTGTGATGTTTTTAGAATTGAAGTTTGTTAATAAAAGAATATAAGTAGATTATAGTGACTTAATTGAGGTTCAGATTTTATTTTAATCTGATTTTATTTAGATTTGAAACAGTTATTAATAATTCTAGAAAAGTCTAACATTGAAATAAAAATAGGAGAACGATAAACAAACTTATAATGGGTTTATAGAAGACCAATATGATGTGAGAAATATAACACTTCAAGCTCTAATTGATAAAATTAAACACAAAGATATCAAAGAAATTTAAAAAATTACTGATTTGTATACTGAGAAAAGGTATCATATTTATTTTGTAGTAATTGTCAATAAATTTCTTTTTTATATTTCTGTTTTATAAGTATCTCTAAAGACATTGTATGCTGACATTACTTTAGAATAATGATGCATTCAGAAATAGCAGCCTTTCATATATCTATAATATCTATTTGATAGTACAAGGATTTATATCAAGACTATGAATTATTAAAAGAAGATAATATAATATTCAACAATAAAAAAGGTATACTTAACCCAATCTTAAATAATTGTATAATTCCAATATACAAATCAGTTACCAAACTAGTTACTGCATCAGTTGCAAAGAAAACCATTGATAAAAAGAATCAATACAGAAGAATCTGGGAACTTGCATATGAAGCTACTCAATTTGCTATAAATAATGATGATAATGAGATAATTCAGATCCTATTAACATATACCAGCAAAGCTTATATACTATATACCATTATTTTTATATTATATATTCGAAGATATTACTATCTTTACTAAAGAACGTTACCATTCTCAAAATATATTATTAATTAGCAATATCACTTATACTGTATTTGTATTTGTATCTATCAAAAAGAAGAAAACTCAAGAAATTTCATTTTTATTTACGTAAATTCTTAAATAATAATTCTATTTTTCAGTTATTAAAACTATTGCATTACGTTTCTTTAAATTATTAATTAATACTACATGTACTGTACTATTTATTCTAAAGCTATATTATATCTATCTATTAGTTCTATACAAAAATAAATATTAAGTTTTATTATTAAAAAAAGTAATTTAAATCTAAATACAATAACTTAATGTCACAGCTGATGCTGAAATTCAGATCTATTTTGATAGTTTGCTTTTTCTTAAGGTTTGGTTAGGATTTAGATAATTAAAAAATATGTGAATTTTAGCAAGATTTATATTTTCAAATCGAGACTCCAAATTTTAGTATCAGTTATAACAATTATTTTCAAAATCTAACTTTACTTTAACAATACCAGAGATATTTTCCCCAGTATCGCCAACAAAATTTTTACCATCAGTAATATCTGACAAAATTTTTAAGTTTATTTATGTTAGGGTTAGAGCCTATTTTAGTGTTAGAGTTAAAAGTTCTAACAGTAAAATCGCTTAAGAAAAACTTTTTATTAATGCGTAGAAGGTGGTTTCCTATGCAGATTTTGAGATATAAGTGATTTTTGACAAAATGAACGTTTGTTTTGAATTTTCTGATTGTGTGACATTACACCAAATTGAGATCTTCCCCAGGATCACTGTAAAAAAGAACTACTCCAAGAATACCCACAAAAATTCTGCAATAATAAAACTCTTAAAAGGTTGTTAATATTGGGTTGGCGATTATATTAGTGTTCGATGTAAAATATAGTAAAATCGTTCAAGAAAAACTTTTTGTTAGAACACTAAGAATGGTTTCCTATACAGATTTTTGAGTTATGTGCAATTTTTGGCAAAAAGAATAGTTGTTTTTAATTTTTTGGATCATGCTACATTACACCTGATCTTTAACTATGATTGGCTCATGGTCACGTTTTGCAGAATTTTTGGGGGTGCTCCTGGGGTAGTTGTAAAAAGTTCCTGTCACGTGAATGATCAATGCACCTGATTGGTCGATGTTGTATGACACCTTTATAACAATAACACATAGTACGTATATATGTATTCGATCTTAATGAAAGACAATACAGCTTATACCGGTATGTACCATTTCTCGAAGTTTTAACTTTTAAAAAAAAATCTCTATTTTTTTAAATAATTTTTGAAGTTTTTACTTTGGAGCGAAGTTGTTTGGAAACAATATTTTTAGGTGTCTCATGAAAATGATACCAGTATATAATAAAACGCAAGTTTAAGAGACTTTAACTTTCAGACGAAATACGGTAATTAATAAAAAAAACTTTCTTTATTATAATAGATATTAATATCATTATTTTTTTCATTTGAAACAAATAATTGTTATATAATAATATAGTATTAATGTTTTAATATTAATTAAAATCACTAATGAATATTATAATTTTTTTTTTAGTAAGCCGAATAAAAAACAATTATTATGACGATTAGAATCTTAGTTTAGTCTAGATAACATGTGTTGTGGTTAAGGTCTCTCTATGTTTGAGGCATAGTTCTTCATTTTCCATGATTTTTAATATCCTCTACTATTTTGCAATAGGATTGAAGTTTCTTTTCACAGATTGCGCCTATTGAACGTTTTTAGCAGCCTTTTGTTCCTTGAGAAGTATAAGTATGTTTTTTGTTAGATTAATCAATTCATCAAAGATATCATCATTTACATTTTCTGGCTCATTTTTTAATTCATCAATATTTTGTATACTCTCAACTTCATCGTATATAACCATTGCTTCTGTTTGCTCTTGATTATACTCAATTAAAAATGGTAGACGATGATTTTTTTTAATATGATTAAAAAATTCAGCAGTAATGGATCTTTTTTTGTTGTACTAGATGTTTGTAGATATAAAATCTGCTTGTTAAATAATAAGGATGGCCACATATCTATTGATTCAAATCTGTTAAGTATATTTGATTAATTTCTCGCTTTGATAATACTTTCTACTCTGATTTGAATTGTTTTATCTATTCAGATTTCTCTTTTTCAACTCCGATCTGTTGCAATTTTCGAAGCTAATGAACTATCACCTTTGTCATTAAAATATACACCACTAGATCAAGACGTAGACGAAAAAATTTATAAAGAAAATCTCTCTTTATAACTTTCTAATATCCTTCTAAAAACATCATTAATCGAGCCCACAATGGCCACTACTGATCATTATACCACTCGTTCACAAATAGCCCCAAAGTGAAACTAATGATTTCTCTTTACAAAATTCGTACATTTCTTTGATTGCTGTTTCCCTTATTATTTTCTTAGTAAAGAATTGCCTGTTACTATTAGATATTAATAGGTGCTGATGAAAATGTTTTTCAATTAATTTCCAGATCTCTTCACGATATTTTTTTGGGCAAAACTTGGCTGATTATATAATACTATTGAATGAAAACCTTGTACCAAGTTCAGATAAGGGTTAAAAAGGGTATTTTTTGTTGCTTTATCACTTGCTAAGTGTGTAAAAATTGCTCTTTTCATATACTATTTGCATAGTTGAATTTTAACTCCTCTCCAAGTAAAACGAGCGGCATTAATTTAAGCAAAATCTTTATCAGTAAGAAAGAAATTTGGATTTATTCCTTTCTCACATAACTCATAAAGAAATATTTGAATTATATAGATGCATGTTCCCTCTTCGTATTGACTAGTATTCTCTAAGAAAAGGTAGGCCAAGGGAAATCCGATACCATTCATCTTAGCTTAGAAGCTATATAGCTCTATTTTAAAACTACTGTCAACTATGGATATAACGGATACCCTTACACTGGATTCATGAGTTTAATGGATTAAATTCAAAGTACTGAATTTTTAATAGTAATTTAAAATGGATATAACGGATTTAATAACAAAAAATCTATAT